CTTTATATTACACCCAATGCAAAAAAAACTGATCTTGATTCTTGATTCACTTTTAACATTCTTTTATTTTAAAATGACCCTTCCAAAGTCATTTTTATTGTAAGTGGATTTCAGTTTAAATTAAATAGGAGGAAATAGGATTTTACTTAATTTTAGTACTTTTCAAAAGGGATCGATTCATTAGCATTTCTTAATGCGTTGGGTATCATGAACTTTCTGCATTTACAGGGTTTTCTTAAAAAGTATTAATTCATGAATGAAGGCATTAAATTGGAGCAGAAAGTCTTTATTTCATAAAGTCATGGCGTCGAATGTTGCATGCACTGCAAAAAGTTAATATCATTCTCAGTGTTTGTTTTCCAATAACATTCTTAAATCAAGATACACTCACCTGAGACATAAAATAACACAAGAAATCTTGTTTCCTGAGAAATTAAACAAAATTGAGTTTATGCTTAAATCCAGAGCAAATATTTGCCAGTGAGAAAAATATTAGAACAAGAAAAAAATATCTGCCCATGGGCTCAGAAAAATCAACTTAATTAATACCCCTTTGACACATATGTCCTTCTTTTAAGCATAGTCACTTTATTTTGTTCAGTTTCTCAGAAAGCGCTAGACTTCATATCTTCATTTTGTGACTCAAGTAGGCCTAAATATTTCTTGATTTGAGAATGTTTACATATTTGAACTGCAAAATAAGGCATAAATACCAAGTAAGTTATTCATTTTTTGGACTATATGCAACATTTGTTGCCAAGAATTTACAACTTTGAGCTCATATTTAAGACTTCATATGTGGAAGGGTGGATTAAGACCAGCAGAAACCCTGTTTATTTAATTTTTCGAGTTAGTTTGAATTCTGATGTTTTTGTTATTTTCAGCGTGGTCTCCAGGTTTCCTCGCGGCGGCGTGATCCAGTCGCTTTCTTCCTGGAAGCAGAGAGCTCCGGCTCAGTGGACGTCTGTCTCGGCGCAGTCCGGCTGGGTTCCTCCTCCTGAGGTGGTGGATCTGACACTGGATGAAGACCGGCACAGATACCTGCTGTGATCAAACACACTCACATACACTCACACGCTTAGATACACACTCATATACATGTGACTGGTGGGCCGAGTGACTCAAACCAGAACACAGAATGATGCTTTCATTAAATGAAAAACACTTCAAACTGCTCAATGTTTGCTTCTGATACACTTTGATGATATGCCTGATGAATTATTTGCTACTGTGAGTGAGACAGCAATGTGAATAAATGACAGCAGATTTTATAGGGTGGTAATGGTTAATGAGCAAATACTGTACCAAGTTCTCCCATGATAAAGTCAGGTATTAAAGCGAAGTTAAAATCTTAAAAACAAAATATGGGGCTTCCTTATAGAAGTTAATACTCAATGTAAACAGGTGGATCTCACAAAAACTGGTCATATTTCACTCCAAAATCAAGAATATAGAATTTATATTTAGCCAAAAGCAAGCAAGACTGTTTTTTAGTACTTTTAAGATTTTTGAATTATGACATTTATTGTTATTGTCATTTTTAAAAAGACCATAATTTGAAATATTTAAAATGTTTAATTCAAAAATATTTTTTTATTATATTATTAAAATAATTTTGTCCTTGCCCATGTTTTTTTTTTTTCTGTAATACAGTAAATCATGGATGCTCTACATTAGAGTGTTTATGAAAATGTCAAATTTAGAAAATGTTAATCATCCTAAAAATATGCTGTTTATTTCTTTATTCGAAATCAATAATATGATTTTGGGGCATTTTTGTGAGATTCAGCCGAAAACGTTTAATCGCTCCTCAAACCTCAGTCATTTCATAATGGCAAATCAGGGACGTTTTACTTTGTCACATCCTCAGATTTCAACGTCTTCTCTTCTTTTGAGTCACTTCGCCCCCCTGAAAAAAACAGCCACACTTACATGATCCTGCTGTCGGCCTCAGGAGTCGCTTGCTGAACTGCCCCAGCCCCCTGTTTTTGTGATGTAACTTCCTGTTAAGCTGCTGAAGAGCTGTTAGTCGAGACCTAAAGGCAAACCTGCTGGTCTTACTCGCAGCAGAGCGAGCGGCCCACTGCTCTGCGTGTGTGTGTTCACTGTCAATCGTTTGATGCTGCTCTGCTGTGTGGGGGGAAGCCTTGGAGTGTGTGTTCCTCACCCAATACTGCTTTCACAATACATTTGCGTACGTGCGAGTGTGTGTGTGTATCCTGAGCATTAGAGATTTTCAGAGCATGTTCATTACATACATCTTGCATTGTCATAGAAACGGGCCCTTGCTTTTATTATGCCAATGGAACTTCTTATTCAAATACACTAGCAGTCAAAAGTTTGGAATTATTACGATTTCTTCATGTTTTTGAAGTTATGCTCATCAAGGCTGATTTTATTTGATAAAAAATATAGAAAAAACTGTAATATTTGTGAAATATTATTACAATTTAAAATAAGTGTCTTCTATGTAAATATGTTGTAAAATTTAATTTATTCCTGTGATCAAAGCTGAATTTTCAGCATCATTACTCCAGACTTCAGAGTCACATGATCCTTCAGAAATCATTCTAATAAAGCAGTAAGCCCCAAGAAGCCATGGTTTACAGTGAATTTATAACAGCTAAGGGGTGTTGTTTTTGCCTAAAACCCCCTTAGCTGTTATAAATTCACTTTATTCCATGGTCTGTCTGAATACTGGATTCTGATTGGCTGGCAGGTATGCAGTAAAACCGTTTAATGCACAGGTAGTTCCAAGTCAGTTTAATCACCTATCTATATTAATGCGCTGCTTTAATTGATGCACACTAACCAACACGCATCGCTCGTGCGCGCGCACAGAGAGAGAGATCGCTGATTGCGCTGCACACACACACAAACTTGTTGTTAACGCTTCCCTGTGATTATCATTAATAAAATAGCCTAGATACTAGATCGCTACATTATATTCCTCAGCAACGAGGTGGTAAAATCGCAGTTTTTTTTAAAGTAATTGTTTGTACAGAGAAACCGCAGACGCAGCTACACACAACATGTGATCTCTCTCTGTCTCTGTCTCTCTCTTTTAAACGATCGATCGATAATTAATTGAAATGCATGCTATAATTCATTCAAATAAATGTGGTCTTACCGCACTACTTCATCTCTGTGTATGATTTGAAGTGGGCAGAATGCTAACGCTAACGTGCCGTAACTGACGAAAATAACTCATTTTTACCCATTCGGTCAAATATTGTGCATCGTCGTGCATTTAAAATCCTTTAACGCACGGCTAGCCGTTGATTATCCCTTACGTAAACCATGGCTTCACGGGGCTTATTGCTTTTATAAAACGGTTATTCCATATGTGTAGTTAGGTTTCACAAAATAAAACAGAGCAAATAAAGTGTAATGATATAAATAAAAACAGTATTCTTCCACCAAACAATGTAGTTCCTCAGAAACAGTTGTGGTTCCAACAAAGTGGTTGCCAAGCAACACACAGAAGTAAAGTAAAGTAATTTAGCTTCGAACTAACTTAGCTTCTCAACAAATCAGAATCAAGGACCGGAACTCTCCGTTTTATAATATGCTGATTTGCTGCTCAAGAAATATTCTTATTATTGTTAATGTTAAACCATTTTTGCTGCGTAATAATTTGTAGCAACAGTGATACACTACCATTCAAAAGTTTGGGGTAAGGATTTTTTTTAAGGAAGAAATGTATACTTTTATTCAGCATAAAATTTATTACAGGTGACAGTAAAGACATTTAAAGATGAAAATAATAAGCAGCACAACTGTTTTCAACACTGATGATGATATAAATGTTTCTTGAGCAGCAAATCAGCATATTAGAATGATTTCTGAAGATCATGTGACACTGCAGATCAAATTCAGCTTTGATCACAGAAATAAATTACATTTTAACATATATTCAAGTAGAAAACAGCTATTTGAAATCATGATAATATTTTCTCAATATTACAGTTTTTACCGTATTTTAATCAAATTAATACAGCCTTGGTGGGCAGAAGAGACTTCTTTACAAAATATGAATAATTCCAAACTTTTGAACTGTAGTGTATCTTGTTGTGAATACAATCAATGTGTGATGAGAAAAAACAGTGTTTTTTGTTCTAAATGGGGTCTAATTTGCATTTTTAAGCAGTTTAACCACAACTTTTGTTTTATATACATGTTTCTATGGTTGCATCATGCTATCCCAGACACCACTGAAGCTATTTATTGATATTTGCTGTGTTTTACTTGATGTTACATATATGAATCATTTGTTCGAAGAGCAATATGAATATGCATCTTGAAAACTGTGCGTATTAAAGGGATGGTTCACCCAATAAATGAAAACTGTCATCATTTGTACACCCTCATGTCTTTTTAAACCCATATGACTTACTTTCTGCTTTAGAAAACAAGATGATTTAAAGAATATTCATGCTGATTTTTTTCCATTAAAAGTAAGCTGCGTAAAAGTCATATGGACTAGTTTTATGGTGCTTTATTGTCATTTATGGAGATTGGAAGTCACTATGCTTTCATTATATGGAAAAGAGCAACATGAACATTCTTCAAAACATCTCCTTTGGTGTTTCTCAGAAGAGAAGTCATTACATTAAGGTGACTAAATAATGACAAAATGTTCATTTCTGGGTACACCGTCCCTTTTGAGTCTTGGCAATATATTCAGTCTGTTTACCATCAGATGTAGAGAAAGGTTTCCTTTTGTTTTTCTTTCTCACAATTGTCACTTGTCAGACCACTGTGTGTGAGGAGCACTCACTACCGGAATGTGAATTATTCAGCTTGTGTATCGCCCTCGAACCCTGCAGGACGTTTCTGAAGCTGGCCATTTTGGCTCACTTAGCCCCGCCTTAAACTGTGACCCGCCCCTCTGAGAGTCTGATTGGACCTTTGCCTCTGTCAATCACAGGAGGTGAATAACAGCTTATTGAAAAAGGGAAAATGAAGTTCCAAAGCAGGAAAACTGATAGTAGCAGAGAAATTTAAAGTGATGGTTCATTCAAAAATTAAAAATTCTCTTCTTTTACTAGCTCTCATGTCATCTGAGATTTTTAAAAAATCAAAAAAGTCAAACGCAAGCAATTTCCATTCTCAAACTCTCAGACTTTGTCTTCTCTGCCCTCAATAGTGACGGCAGTTGCTGGATCCCAGCTGCTGTCTCGTGTTCAGGCTGCTTTTGTGAAAGAAAGGAAGTCCTTTCAGAGTTAAAAGTGGGATTCCCAGACTGTGTCGTATCTGCCCTTTCTGTGTTAGCAAAGAGCACAGAGACAGTCCTGCTCTCTCCGGGATGAAAGAGATGCATTCGTAGCTGATGCTTTAAAGGGATAGTTCACATAAAAACTAAAATAATCATCATTTAATCGCTCTCGTGTGGTTCTAAACCTGTACGACTGACTTTCTGCTGTGGAACACTAAAGATGTTTAGTAGAATTTACTAAATCAATGGGGACAGATGCTGTAAATCTCCAAAAGTGACATTAAACCACTACCAAACTAGTTCATGCAACTTGTGCGTTTTGTTCCAAATTTAAAGTGCAATATTTAATGAAAATATTCTTAACCGGAGCTCTCAAATCTCATTTTCCCTTTTGCATATTCATACATATGGCCTATATACAGTACTGTTCAAAAGGGGTCATTAAGACTTTTTTTTTAAAAAGGGAATTGATTATTTTATTCTGCAGGGCTGCATTAAATTGATTGAAAGTGACAGTAAAGAGATTTATAATGCTACAAAAGATTTCTATTTCAAATAAATTATGTTCTTTTGAACTTTATTCAACAAAGAATCCTGAAAAAAAAAATTTATGAAAAAAATGAACTGTTTTCAACATTGATAATAATCAAAAATGTTTCTTGAGCAGCAAATCAGCATATTAGAATGATTTCTGAAGGATCATGTGACACTGAAGACTGGAGGAATGATGCTGAAAATACAGCCTTGCGTCATTTTAAAATATATTCAAATAGAAAACAGTTATTTTAAATAGTAATAATATTTTGATATAAAAATATATATATATATGAAAATATCTGATTTTGCTGTATTTTTGATCAAATAAATGCAGCCTTGATGAGCAGGAGAGATGTCTTTCAAACACATTTTTCCCCGAAGTGTATTTAATTACATTTTTGTGTAATGAAATGCTTTAGAAGACTGACGTTTTTGGAGCTCAGCAGCATTAGTTCCCATTAACTTTCCTTCTAAGGAAGAGAACGTTGTGATTCTACTAAATTCTCTCTATTTGTTTTCCATGAATGAAGTTGTACGGGTTTGAAACCACATAGAAGTGCGTAAAAGATGACATTTGAACTATTCCTGATGTTGTCAAATGTTCTCACCATGCAGCATACCTGGCTCTTTATTTCTTAGCATTTCTAAATGTTATGTTTCAGATTTCATAGCATTGTGCTGGTGCACCTGAACATCATTATGAGGACATCATCATCCTCCTCGCCTGTGTTTTGTCTCCAATCATGTGTCTTGTGTTTCCTGCTGGAATGTTTTGTCATTCGAGACCGATTTAAGAATCCTAAAACAGCAATAATCCAACATCCAGAGAACAGAGGGACAGACCTGTGTGACTGAACACAATATAAGTCACATGACATGAGGGGTTTGGGTTTTTATTAACACTTCCCCTTTAATTGAATCTTGTTACTCTATTTTTGTTCATTTCATTTTGACAGTATTTTAAATTAACAGCAAAAGTGTTCATATGTTTTGCTTCCACAAGTCTTTCTTCCTTTAAACATTTATGTAGAAGAAATAAAACTATTTTAAGATAAATAAATAGAGATATTTAAAGAGTACAATTGTGATTTCTTGTGTTTTTATTATTATTAAAATGAGTTCACAAACTTGTGTTACACTTGTGAATGATTGAGTGTAACAGAGAACAGCCAAACTTTGTATAATACATACTCCAGTGTGGGAAAGCAGCCGGTGACCTCTGACCCCCGGGGGTCACAGCTAGGCAGCTGCCACAAGAGGCTCTGTTCATCCCTAATGACAAAGAAACAGGAGTTTTCCCTCATCCAGACACCCGCAGCTGTATGCTAATGTGAGCTCGTGTGTCTGCTGACTTTACTTCAGAAAAAGTTTGATGGTATGAATTCAGCTCTGCTATTTTTAGCCAAGATATTACAAGAGACTTAATTCAGTTTGAATAACGTTTTAGGCCAAAAACCTAAACATATTTTTTGTTTTTGCACACACCAAGGCTGCATTTATTTGAACAAAAATACAGCAAAAATTGTGAAATATTATTACAATTTAAAATAGCTGTTTTCTATTTGAATTTATTTTAAAATGTAATTTATTCCTGTCATGCAAAGCTGAATTTTCAGCATCATTGCTCCAGTCTTCAGTGTCACATGATCTTCAGAAATCATTCTAATATGCTGATTTGCTGCTCAACAAACATTTCTGTTTATCAGTGTTGAAAACAAAGATTTTTGTGGAAACTGAAACATAGTTAAGGGTTCTTTGATCAATCAAAAGTTCAAAAGAACAGCATTTATTTGAAACAGAAGTCTTTTGTAACATTATAAATGTCTTTTCAGTCACTTTTGATCAATTTAATGTTAATTCTCTTATTAAAAAAAATCTTACCCCAAATTTTTGGTTTGGTATGGAATGGTAATGTATATTCATACCTTTTTTGTGGGTAATTGGCATTTCCTACAGTGTGACATCAAGTTAAACATATTTTGAACTTTATTTTGTTAATTTGATTAGAATAATTGAGCTTCATTTTGTTGACACCATAAAGCTTCTGAATGCTTTTGATCGAATGTTGCTATTTTCATTGACTTTTAGTTTTTAAATGTTTGTTCTTGTTTATAATGTATGTAACACTAGAGAGATTAATTCACTTCACTCACATAAACAGGACATTGAGAGTTATACTATCTCTTTTAAAGCTGCTATTCATTTGGTCTGTTCACTTTTACAAGCTGTCGGTATGATCACATTAAACTGCAGTGTGAATTGATAAGGTCGTGGATTTGCACATGGTTCAATGTTGTTAAGTTCTTTTAATTAAACACGACTGTTTTTGATTCTGTTTATTTTGGGCGGAAGTCAAGTAACATACTTTTAAGTACAGTGACTGTAAGAGAAATGTTTCTTCATAACAAGCAGCATAATTGATGTTGAATGAGATGTTATTTTATAATTGGAGGAGCAGAGAGAGAGGCTGAGGGTCTTCACAGGGGTCGTGGTGAGACGTATGAACAGAAGGAGCAGAGATAATCACAGTGTGTGTGTGTGTGTGTGTGTGTGTGTGTGTGTTTGGGGGAAGGGGTTCAGGACGGGTAAGGACTGACATATGGAGTGTTTAGTCTTTCAAAGCAACCAGTCCCCTTTATGGCCAACAGGCCATGTCCGTCTGACTATGATTTGCTCGTGCTTTCTATCAAAAAATATTTTTTAAAACAAAACAACAGGTTGATCATGTTTCTGGTGGCCTAAACATATACAAACATCAAATCTGAAACTGTCATATGTGTTGACAGCAGTTACCTCACACTTCATGATACAGTCTTAAAAATAAAGGTTCTTTACTGGTATTTATGGTTCCATGAAGAAGCTTTAACATCTATGGAATCTTTCCATTCCACAAAAGGTTCTTTAGATTATTAAAATGTTCTTCACACTAGGACAATTGTCCTTTTAAGAACGTGAAAGGTTCTTTAGAGAACCAAAAATGGTTCTTCTGTGACATCACTGCGAAAAACCCTATTGTGTATGAATGTATGAGTTTTAAAAAAATCTAAGTTGTTTTGCCAAAAGACTCTAGAATGCTTCATTGTAATTCATTGAGTCAGATTTTCGGCCTTTTTATTGTATGCCAGGTAAAATAAAAATATGGATAATATTTAGGATTAGTGTGTTTATTCAAATCCCTAATTAAAGCCTTTTTTATGTATTTATTTATGTCACAGGAGCTGTGAATAGGACACATAGAACATTCCTTGAACAAAAAATAGACTGATTACATAGCTTTGACTAACTTCGTAATGCAGTTTTTTTTTATTATTTATATATGTTTCAAAATGTAGTTGCACGCTTACGTCATAGTTTACAAATCTTGACGCGTTTTAGTAGCTGCGCGTTTCCGCCGCGTCCAGGACGTCAAACCCCCCTACAGCTAATTCACAAAAGACTCGCCGCCGTGCCGAGCGCTCTGATTGGCTGAGGCCGGAGCTACAGGAAGCGGCGTAGGGCTCGCTGATTGGCTGCCGTTCTCTTTGTGTGCGTGCAGCTGGCGTCTGGGCTGCATTTTGAATGGTCTCGTGTTGGAAGGCGGAGGTGTCCATGGGCAGCACAGCAACAAAGGAGCCAGGATGGTGTTAGTGCACGTCGGATATCTGGTTCTTCCCGTCTTCGGTTCGGTCAGAAGTAGAGGTAAGTAGAGCCTTATTTACTGTCGCACGCGCTCGCGTCTTTTTTCACGCGTGTTTGAGACGCGCGGATGTGATCAAAGGCTGCTGGCCTGGCGGAGCGTCGCGTATTTTCCAACAAAAACACGGAGCGATTCGCTCAGTGGCGTAACGTTAAAGAAAATATCCATCATATTGCTATACCAGAAAGCGAGTGTGTTTTAATTCACTGGATAAATTGTTATCGGGTCACAATTTGGAAAACGCGTAGCACGTTCCTTAGCGTCGTCCTTTGTGTCAGAAGCATATGTAGGCTTTAATATAGAAATACCTCAGCGCGTATTCAAGTATTTGTCTGGCGCACAGCTCCTCAGTGGGGCGCGTCAAACTAAAACGCAATTGTTACAAGCTTTCAGCGCGATGCGACGAACGCGAACCTTCGTATTATAAAGCAACAAAGTCGCACGTTTGCAGCGTCGACAGCTTTGGCGGCGTTTTAGCTCTTTGCAGTGTATGTAACGCGTTACGATCCGTTAAATTCCCTCACATCCGTTCCGCCGTGTGCGGTTTTGTTTATGAATAATTAATCATGGCTTCAGCAGATGGGCAGCTGCAGTGCCACGAAATATCCTCAGCTGAACCTGCTCGCAATTTCAGCTTTTACAACACGAATGCATGGAAAATTTGGATCGTTTTAATGTCTAATCATCGATCGCAGCATGAAGTGTTTAATTCTGCTGTAATGGAGAACAAAACACCTGGATCTTAAATCCCACCTTAGCTAGCCATGTCTGGACAGGAAAAAAGGTGCATCCATGTACAGTATCTGTGCACGTCAATAATAGCAGAAATGCACCATTTTTAGCCGTTCTGCACCGGTTTTCATGTTTTGCATTTTATAGCCATGCTTAACCAGATGCATTCATATATATAAAATGTGCAGTTAAATAATTATAATGGTTTGTTATGCATTTTGTTGACGCCAACAGAAAATCAGATGCATCCTTACATGTAAAATTGTAAAATAATAATGCAATGAGATGCATTTTTGTAGCCCTGTTGCACCCGAATCTGTATATAAAATGTGCAAATAAATAATCGTGGTATATGCGTTTTACTGTCACCAGCAGAAAAAAACAAATGCATTAATAGATGTGTGCATTTGTGCAATAAATAATAATAGTAAAATGAGGTGCATTTTGTAGCTCTACTACACCAGCATGAGTTTAAAATGTGTGCAATTAAATAATTTAATAGTATACAAATTTTACTGTCACCCTTTAGCACCAGCAGAAAAACAAGTGCATCAATATGTGAAATATGTACATAAAATGTGTGCAATTAATTAGTTGTATATGCATTTTGCTGTCGCACATTAGCACCAGCATATAAACAAATGCATCAATACGAAAAATGTGTATAAAATGTGTGCAATTAAATATAGTAGTATGCATTTTAGTGTAACCAGCAGAAGATTATGTGTGTGCAACAATAATAAGAATTATAGTAATTTGAGGTGCATTTTGTAGCCATACTGCACCAGGATCTGTATTAAAATCTATACTATTAAATATGTTAGTGTATGATTTTTACTGTCACCAGCAGAAAAACAAATGCATTGATGTATGTGTGCAATTGTGCAATAATAATAGTAATAATTTGAGGTGCATTTTGTAGCCATGCTCTAGCACCGATGGTTTCATTGATTGTGCTTGTATTTGTTTCTATTTTTTTCCTTGTTCCATAGTCTGGGGGCTGATTCTACATACCGCATTTTTTTCAGAGCTCTGTTCCCTTCCATTGTGTATCTAACGATCACCCGCCGCTGCTGTGCTATAGCCTCTGCCTGCCCTGCATCTAGCTGTGTTGTGACTCCCTCTTCTCATTCCCTCTCTTTCCATCTGAAGACGACATTACAAACAAACTCTCACTCATCCAGTATATCCTCCTGTGTAACCGACTGCAGAATAACACTCTCTCTTCTCTAGAAGAATCCTCTTGTCGTCTTATTTTTAAATGGTCATTGTTGCTTTGACGAAAATAACAACTCATTGTAGCATTTAGCTTTTTTATGACTGTCATTGTGATTTGTCCCATACTCAGTGTGGATAGACCAACATTTTTGCTGTAAATTTCTGTCAAGTGGATGCATTGGCCTCTCACTCGATCATAGCCGGGCTTGATCGACCCCTAAACACTGTCTCTGTCTTGTCTTCCGGGAAGGTGCGCTGTGCCGGTGGGATTTGCCACAGATTTGGACTCAGAAACTTACTAGAGAAGCTTGACGTTCTTTTTTTCTTTTCTAATTATGCATGTACAGTTGTGATCGATAATATCTCAGTTCGGTGACCCTTCGCTCTGTGGGTTTCGCCTCCCTAGGGTGACCCATTAATGATTTAATCAAATTAAATCTATACCGTCTTCCTTAAAGGAATAGTTTGCAGAAAAAGAAATTCTGTCAATATTTGCTCACCTTTATGTCGTTCGACACCCATATGCTGTTATTTGTTTTGGTTAAAAAAATAAGAAGTTTGGAAGATATTGACAGGGCTCAAGAACGGAAAAACCACCAGTTTTAACTACTGTTATTTTAATATAATTTAAATACTTTCATAATTTTTGTAATATTTTGAATTAGCTTTTTTTTACACACATATATATATATATATATATATATATATATTTTTTTTTTTTTATTATTACTATTTTTATATATATTTTTTTAATATTGCTATTTGGATTTAATTTTAGTTTTTATATGATTCCAGTTAGTAATTTTAGTGCTTTAGCTTAAACTAAACAAAAGTGAGAAATGTTGCCAACTAACTGAAATAAATTGAAGTTTTTCATCTAATATTATTATTATTCTATATGATTTAGCTTTCTTAACTAACAAAAATGGTTTTAATAGTTTTAGTGAACGTTAATAACCCTGGATTAAATGGCTCGTACACTATATTTCAAGTCTTCTGACGTCTTACAAGTGAAATTTAAGTTATTATTCACTAATTATCTTCTCCGCAGAAACTCTGAAATCTCATTTGCATTCAGTGGTTTTGAAGGCCAAAAATGCAAGTGGTTCTTGTATGGAACTGAATGTAAGTTCTTCACACAAGCTTTTGGAGTTTTTGGTCACTATAATATGGCTGTTTAAAGAAAACAGCTGTAGCAAAGATATGAAAAGGCTTTTGACCGCATATGGGTATAGAATGACATGAGAGTGAGTGACTTCATATATAAAGTCAAGTATATAATGTGTTTTTGTACACCCATTGTGGTATGATCTTCAAAGGTAGTATATATATATTGAGCTTTATTAATCCTCAAAGAGTAACACATGGAAACCATAGAAAAGCTACTATTTCAAGACTGTTATGGTTGACACAAAGCACGTTTTAGAAGAGCATACTGCTCACGTGTGAAATATTTTGCTATTCGATGTGGCCATGTTAAAGGAATAGTTCACCCAAAAATGAAAATTTGTTGAAAATGTCCTCACCCTCAGGACATCCCATAGATGAGTTTGCTGCTTCATCAGGTTTGGAGAAATGTAGCATTGCATCACTTGCTCAGCAATGGATCCTCTGCAGTGAATGGGTGCCGTCAGAATGAGAGTCTAAACAGCTGATAAAAACCATCACAATAAGTAATCCACACCACTCCAGTCCGTTGATTAACCTCTTGTGAAGCGAAAAGCTGCATGTTTGTAAGAAACAAATCCATTATTAAAGCATTTTATCTTTAAACAAGTCTTTTATCCATAATATGACTTTCTCCAGTGAAGAAGTTGTCCCATCTGAATCAGGAGAGAAATATGCACAGATTAAGCACCGTTTACAAGCCAAAACAGATCTGTGAGTGCATTTTGATGTAAGAAGAGAACAAGGGATGGACTTTTTCACTGGAGAAAGCATTATTATGGATTATGGCTAATTGCAGTGTTTTAAAGCAAAAATGTCTTGCTGGTTTTTGTTTCTTACAAATATGGAGCTTTTGGCTTCACAAGATGTTAATTGATGAACTGAAGTGGTGTGGATTATTGTGATGATTTTTTTGTTCATCAACTGTTTGGACACTCATTCTGACGGCACCCATTCACTGCAGAGGATCCGTTGGTGAGCAAGTGATGTAATGCTACATTTCTCCAAATCTGATGAAGAAACAAACTCATCTAGATCTTGGATGGCCTGAGGGTGAGAAAATTGTCAGCGAATGTTAATTTTTGGGTGAACTATTCCTTTAAAGATGACCTAAATGGTGTATTTTGTTTAAGAAAAACAGCCGTCTTCAGCTTGGAAGTAGTAAAATGACTCTGAAGAAGCAGAAACGAGTATCAAAGCGGTAGTTTATGGCTCTTGACTGGCACACTGCACCCGACCGCCACTCAAACCGACCCTCATTCATTTGATTTACCCATGCTGCAAAGCCAGCATTAGCCTAGCGCTACCGGGCGGCGCTCCTAACGCTGTGCGAGCGCGAATGTCATCCACTTTACAGGGATCACTAGAACTGCACTGTAGAAGTCCTCCTAGTATCGAAATGTCTCTATTTCTTTGGTTGTGGTTCTCTGCCTTCTGTTCCTGTACTAGGTTGTAATGCATGACCATGTTTATTATTTTCCTCTTGATTTTGATTGTTTCTTTGTTTTGGAACATTGAACAGCAAACTCCAATGTATCTTTGTGTAGACATGTCCTGCTGTACTGACGTGTTGTAGCATACACATCTACCCATTGGATGCTGCTTCTGTTATGTTAACTTTATGGAGCATGGTTGGGCCTTGCCTTCGCTCTTTATTTGCATGGAATTATTATTATTATTATTATGATCACACAATTCCACTCATACTAATATTTTCCAATAAAGACTGTAGATTTTTCCCTAACCCTCGGTGTGCTCTCTGCTGATTTCCATGTGTCGTTCCCTCAAACCCCTCCCACTCCACTCTATGGTTCCTCTTTGGCCCCTCCCTCGAGTCATCTCTGCTCCTCCCACTTGCCAGAGTGAATCATGGGAATGTGCACTC